ATGTTTTGTATGTGTAGTCTTTTGTGAGTAATGTTTTGTAAGTATAGTGTTTTGTGAGTAATGATTTGCAAGTGTAATGTTTTGTGCATAATGTTTAGTAAGTGTAATGTTTTGTGAGTAATGTTTTTAAGTGTAGTGTTTTGTGAGTGTAATGTTTTGTGAGTAATGTTTTGTAAGTGTAGTGTTTTGTGAGTAATGTTTTGTAAGTGTAGTTTTTGTGAGTAATGTTTTGTGAGTAATGTTTTGTGAATAATGATTTGTAAGTGTAATGTTTTGTGAGTAATATTTTGTAAGTGTAATGTTTTGTGAGTAATGTTTTGTAAGTGTAGTGTTTTGTGAGTAATGTTTTGCGAGTAATGTTTTGTAAGTGTAATGTTTTGTGAGTAATGTTTTGTAAGTGTAGTGTTTTGTGAGTAATGTTTTGTAAGTGTAGTTTTTTGTGAGTAATGTTTTGTGAGCAATGTTTTGTGAATAATGTTTTGTAAGTGTAATGTTTTGTGAGTAATGTTTTGTAAATGTAGTATTTTGTAAGTGTAATGTTTTGTAAGTATAGTGTTTTGTGAGTAATGTTTTGTATGTGTAGTGCTTTGTGAATAATATTTTGTAAGTGTAGTTTTTTGTGAGTAATGTTTTGTGAGTAATGTTTTGTAAGTGTAATGTTTTGTAAGTGTAGTGTTTTGTGAGTAATGTTTTGTGAGTAATGTTTTGTAAGTGTAATGTTTTGTGAGTAATGTTTTGTAAGTGTAATGTTTTGTGAGTAATGTTTTGTAAGTGTAATGTTTTGTGAGTAATGTTTTGTAAGTGTAGTGTTTTGTGAGTAATGTTTTGTAAGTGTAATGATCTGTGAGTAATGTTTTGTAAGTGTAATGTTTTGTGAGTAATGTTTTGTAAGTGTAGTATTTTGTGAGTAATGTTTTGTAAGTGTAGTGTTTTGTAAGTGGAATGTTTTGTGAGTAATGTTTTGTAAGTGTAATGATTTGTGAGTAATGTTTTGCGAGTAATGTTTTGTAAGTGTAGTTTTTTGTGAGTAATGTTTTGTGAGTAATATTTTGTATGTGTAATGTTTTGTAAGTGTAGTGTTTTGTGAGTCATGTTTTGTGAGTAATGTTTTGTAAGTGTAATGTTTTGTGAGTAATGTTTTGTAAGTGTAGTGTTTTGTGAATAATGTTTTGTAAGTGTAATGTTTTGTGAGTAATGTTTTGTAAGTGTAATGTTTTGTGAGTAATGTTTTGTAAGTGTAATCATTTGTGAGTAATGTTTTGTAAGTGTAATGTTTTGTGAATAATGTTTTGTGAATAATGTTTTATGAGTAATTTGTCTTTGGCTAATCACTTGTTAATGAGTAAGATTTGTTTAATTGTTTTCAACGGCCGTGATTAATTTGGGTTAATTTACTTGTCGGCTCACATTTCCCTCTCTCCTTTCCTCCCAGACTCACCACTGCATGCCTCCACCCCCCTCTCTTCCAGACCCGCTCATCCCTCTTTTTTTCTTCCCTGATCCACTCTCCACCTTCTTTCCTCCCTGATCCCCTCTCCACCTTCCTTCCTCCTTGATCCCCTCTCCACCTTCCTTCCTCCCTGATCCCCTCTCCACCTTCCTTCCTCCCAGATCCACTCTCCACTTTCCCTCTCTCCATCTTAGACTCCGTCCTACTTCTTCACTTAATTCTTCCTCCTCCCTCTCACTCACTCCAACCTCCTCTCTCTCCAGGCCCGGCCCCGGGGAGGGGGGGGGGGGCACGTGCCCCCCCTAGGCACATGTAAATGTGTCTTTTTAGCCCTGAGACATGAGTCCGTATACAGGGGCTGGCACTATTATTTTATCGTTCACATAATTTAAACGTCCAGATATAACCGGGGATAGACAGTATAACTTAATGTCTATCCCCAAGCCAAATATCCACCTGCAAGGAACTGTAAGTGTGGCGGGGTGTCAACTTCAGCACGTGCAGAATACGATGGGTACCATAACTTAAGTGTAATTCCGTTATTTTATTTGGTATTCACCCAAGCGCCAGCTACTGCTCGAGGACACCATAATTATTATGTGTCCTCAGAGTTCCGGGCTTAAGTGTTTATGTAAAACTCGGTAGGTTACTCGACATGATGTATTAGACGGAATTTAGCGAGGTTTATACAGTTGTTGTCGAAACTATGCAAAATATTGCTGAAGAAGGAGAATCATGGAACTTAGAGTCAATTCTAAATGGAAAATCACTTTCTTGCAATTACGTAATTTTAATTTCTGATGGCACTTACTGTGTGTCGTAGTCTCTCAGTGTAAGCCTTCAAGGACGGGTGCCATTGGCGACTTCACAGCTAAGTCTAAGATAAACAGTATCAACTGTGCTATCAAACAGTGTTATGATGATATTGATCAAGTTAGTGATACTTGGTACGTATACTGTACATGGAAGCCGTTGCCTTACCTAAACCAGTCAATGCCCCTAAATCATTACTACCTCATATAAAAACAGATCTAACATACCATCAGTTTCCCTCAAAAAAAAAAATCAATAAATAAACACAAACATCTTGAAGTAGGGCTTCTTTTAATTGCTAACGTTTCGGAAATAATCCTTTTCCATCATCAGAGCCTAAAAAGTTTTTAAAAAGTTTAAAAATACAGGTGATATACAATAAAAACATAATATTATACGAAAATTTACCTTCGATAAACTTTAAAAATTTATAAAAGAGCAATCCAATTCAAAACCGACAAAAATGACGAGACCTACATACAGAGCTAAAATCGGGAAATAAAAAGTATGAAATTAAATATACAGGGGGTATTACCTTAATTCGGACGAGCCTTAATTCCTTAATCAATAAACCTTAGTGATGGTCAGTTCAAAACTGATAATATGTTACATAAATTTATTTGTCAGTGGCCCAAGGTTAAAAACGCTTTGAAAACCTTTGATCTAGATGTCTGATAGTTATTTAGTGGGTCCCTTATTTTTGACCTGACCTGACTAGTCACGTCACCCCCCTTCTCTTAATCTCCTCTACGTGTGTGTTGGTGTGGGGATTAGTGGATGACATCATTATGACCTGACCTCATGTTTTATAAGGTCACCCTGTATTTTTAAGCCTCTCTCTGTCCATGTAATCCAGTTGCCTCTGAAGATGTCTTGAATAAAGACGAAAGCTAAGGTGCTCCATTGTTTCCCTTTTCCTGTGTGATTTTATAAAAAAAAGATATATATATATATATATATATATATATATATATATATATATATATATATCTTGATAAAATCACACGGGAAAATGGAAACAACGGAACACCTTAGCTTTCGTCTTTATTCAAGACATCTTCAGTTGCCTCTGAAGATGTCTTGAATAAAGACGAAAGAACATAAACATAAGAAAATAAGGAGTCTGCAATAGGCCGGTTGACCTGTGCATGGCAGCTCCTGTCGAGAGTTACTACCACTCTCTATCATCCATGAATCTATCTAGCCTCCTTTTGAAACTTTCCAGAGTTCCCGCACTTACTACAAAGTTGCTAAGCTTGTTCCACTCGTCCACCACCCTATTTGTGAACCAGTTTCTTCCTATCTCCCTCCTAAACCTAAACTTATCCAACTTGAATCCGTTGCTCCGAGTCCTATCCTGCTCGGATATTATAAGAACTTTATCTATATCCCCTTTATTGATTCCTTTCACCCACTTAAATACTTCTATCATATTTCCCCGCACTCTTCGTCTTTCTAGGGAATGCAAGTTAAGTTTCTTTAACCTATCCTGATATGGAAGGTTTCTAAGTCCCTGAATCATTTTTGTCATTCTTCGCTGCACCGACTCTAGTGAATTTATATCCATTCTATAATAGGGGCACCAGAACTGAACCGCATAATCGAGGTGCGGCCTAACTAGCGCAAGATATAGTTGCTAAGGTGCTCCGTTGTTTCCATTTTCCCGTGTGAGTTTATCAAGATTTATCTTATTCACGTTTTCATATATATATATATATATCTTTATATATAATATATATAATATATATATATATTATTATTCCTAATAATATATATATATATATATATATATATATATATATATATATATATATATATATATATGCTGATAACCACAAGGAAAGAAGAAAACACGAAGTTCCCAAGCGCTTTCGTGTAATTCACATCTTCAGGGGCGAGTCTGTTACCGAGCAGGCGTACCAACATATGATGATGCACTGGAGAACATTCAAAAGCATTTCATCCAGCGTTTCAATTTGTAAAGACAGAAAAAGTTACCATAACACTATAAAAGACGTTAAAGATGCTGGTGGTTGTAAAGTATAATAGTTTGACAGTCAACAACATTATTCTGCATCTTTACGGTGTAATACAATATGACACACCGGACCGGGAATTCTGACAAACGTAAGAGTTTTATTTGTATCCCTTTTAATTTCTCCGTATTAACTATACGCGACATACAGAATTCATTGTATTGGTTACACGAGGCATCATACAATCAGAAGTACAACCTTAACAAATGAACAGGTCTCCGTGATCTTTGTGAAGGCAGTCAAACCCAGGGGTGCAGAATTTGTTTTGTTAACTGTACATGTTTCACAGCCTCCAGCAGTAATTCTCACATTCCTTGAAATATACTTACGATAAAATGTAGTTATTTACCCATGCAGATATCTATTAGGTGAAATGAGCGAACACTCAAAGTATAACAGTGAGTCAAGTGTATTAGAGGGAGAGGTGAGACAGTAAGTAGGTATAAGAGTATCGGAAGGAGAGGTGAGGCAACAAGTTGGTGGAGCAACAGGTTATGAAGCCACTCGTATCCAGGTCAAAGTACGTGTAGTAACAAAACCCGAAAGAAATCACCTATTAATTAATTCCCCTGCTTATTTCACCTTAAGATTAATCACTGCGCTAACCTGTCCCCACCCCCCCACGTTTCATTAAGGTGTATAGGCACCGGGGGACTTAAGCTGGGGGTTAATCATCAGGTTATCCATCCAAAGTGACTCACCAGCTGATGACGAGGACCTCCTTTCCCTCCCCATGTGTAGGAGCTGCGACTTCATTTCCTCGACAGAGTCCTGGCGTTTTCCTCCGGCCACCTCACACTTGCACACGTTCACTGCCGAGGGAGTCTGCGAGGCGGAGGATGGTGTTGAGGACACCATGTTGACGAGCGACATACTGGTGGTGCTGAGGAAGGAGGAAAAGGTGAGGAGTATTCACAGCGAGAGAGGAATAGGTAGGAAGGAGCGCGTGTAACCCGTGTGAGAGCACCCGCAGAACTAATGGAACGGAGGGAGATAAGAGAAACGGGGAGAGATGGATCAATACCTGCGCCTACTTAAGAAGCACCGCCAAATTTGTATATTGGTGTACAGAAATGCGAGTAACTATAATTAATAAGAAAACCCGTATTGTTTTACCTCCTATAACTATTGTACTCCACAAAATCAACTAACACAAACTCACAGGTAAGAATAATCAGACGTGTACTAACTGCGCGCGGAGCAACAAGTGACTGGACACAACGGTGATCCTTTAAATACTTATCCTCCGGCCAATCACAGCAGCCGCGCAGTTACCTATTGATGTTATTTTTCCACAATCCTTTAACTTCATTCACGTCCTGGTGTCTTACGGTCAGTTTTTGTTGTGCAACGATTTCTTGCGCAAATTAAGTTACATAATCTAGACATCCTGACGTAGCCATTCGTATCTAAGGCCATCAGTGCGTCAACACGGATTGCCTGAAAATTAGCCATCCAGTTTATTTCAGCTGATGATTGAACCCATTAACGGTACCTGGGGAGGGGGTAGCTTAACGTGAAGTAAGCTTGGGGCTAATCTTAGGGTTGCCATATCAGAACATTAAAAAAAGAGGACGCTCCAGAAGACCTCCTGCCCCACTCCCCCCCCACCCCGGCACACACTTTGGCGCTATGTAACCTTGAAGCAGCCGTGACAATTAATTTTGCATACTTGCATAACATTAATATATATATATATATATATATATATATATTAATGTTATGCAAGTATGCAATATATATATATATATATATATATATATATATATATATATATATATATATATATATATATATATATATATATATATATATATCTTGATAAAATCACACGGGAAAAGGGAAACAACGGAGCACCTTAGCTTTCGTCTTTATTCAAGTCATCTTCAGAGGCAACTGGCTTACATGGACAGAGAGAGGCTTAAATATACAGGGTGACCTTAAAAACATGAGGTCAGGTCATAATGATGTCGGAACCAGTGTTAAACAGATGTGAACAGTGGTGAACAGTGCTTAAGTCAGTGAGAACAACTCAACAGTAACAGTCGTACCCAAGTTAACCCTCACACAGTGAGGTCCCAGGTACCCAGTGATAACGGCGAGACCCAACAACAACCAGCGATGTGTTAATCCGTCTACGATAGGAAGGCCTAAGACCAAACCTCACTCATATAACACCATCTGTGAGGGAATTACTACACCACATGTCCCTCATAACACCATCTGTGAGGGAATTACTACACCACGTGAGGCCCCTCATAACACCATCTGTGAAGGAATTACTACACCACGTCAGGCCCCTCATAACACCATCTGTGAGGGAATTACTACACCACGTGATGCCCCTCATAACACCATCTGTGAGGGAGTTACTACACCACGTGAGGCCCCTCATAACACCATCTGTGAGGGAACTACTACACCACGTGAGGCCCCTCATAACACCATCTGCGAGGGAATTACTACACCACGTGATGCCCCTCATAACACCATCTGTGAGGGAATTACTGCACCACGCCAGGTCCCTCATAACAACATCTGAGGGAACTACTACACTACGTGAGTTCCTCCTAACACCATCTGGGAGGGAGTCACTACACTACGAGTTTGCTGTTCAACACCTACAGTAATCTGTATGTTCACTGTATGTTCCTTTACCTTTCTCTAATGAAGGCTTTTGTTAAACCACCAATGTATGTAATAAGTCATTTATGTCCAATGTATATTTTCAGCCTTTCGGGCTGCAGAATTTTTTCAATAAACCGTTAATTATTATTATTATTATTATTATTATTATTATTATTATTATTATTATTATTACACCAACACACACGTAGAGGAGCTTAAGAGAAGGGGGGTGACGTGACTAGTCAGGTCAGGTCAAAAATAAGGGTCCCACTAAATAGTGGGTCCCTTATATATATATATATATATATATATATATATATATATATATATATATATATATATATATATATATATATATATGTATGTATATATATATATATATATAAATATATATATATATATATATATATATATATATATATATAAATTATATATACAATATATATATTATATAAATTATATATATATATATATATATAATATATATATATATATATATATATATATATATATATATATATATATATATATATATATATATATATATATATATATATATATATATATATATATATATATATATATATATATATATATATATATATATATATATATATATATATATATATATATATATATATATATATATATATATATATACTCTGTTAATGAATGTGATGTATATCTTTGTGTATGAACCACTGTCCTACGTGACAGTGAGAAGTGATGCCACCCTCAGTGTCAAGACATAAGAACATAAGGAGTCTGCAATAGGCCGGCTGGCCTGTGCATGGCAGCTCCTGTCGAGAGTTACTACCACTCTCTATCATTCATGAATCTATCCAGCCTCCTTTTGAAACTTTCCAGCGTTCCATCACTTACTACAAAGTTGCTAAGCTTGTTCCACTCGTCCACCACCCTATTTGTGAACCAGTTCCTTCCTATCTCCCTCCTAAACCTAAACTTATCCAACTTAAATCCGTTGCTCCGAGTCCTATCCTGCTCGGAAATTATAAGAACTTTATCTATATCCCCTTTATTGATTCATTTCACCCACTTAAATACTTCTATCATATCTCCCCGCACTCTTCGTCTTTCTAGGGAATGCAAGTTTAGTTTCTTTAACCTTTCTTGATATGGAAGGTTTCTAAGTCCCGGAATCATTTTCGTCATTCTTCGCTGCACCGACTCTAGTGAATTGATATCCATTCTATAATAAGGGCACCAGAACTGAACCGCATAATCGAGGTGCGGCCTGACTAGCGCAAGATATAGTTGCAATACGACCTCTGCACTCTTATTATTTACACTTCTAGATATAAAACCTAATACCTGACTGAATTACTCAGAATAGGGAACTAAAAAAAAAGCACTGGTCACTGACCCACATCGGAGCCTGGGGGACGAAAATGTAATAATAATAATAATAAAGAACCACAAAGAAATAAAAAAAAATAAAAGTGAGAATTGATATACAGCGGGGTATGTATGTTGTGTTTTAGCGTAGTGTATGTGACCAGTTGTCTAATTTTTCTTTGTGTTTCTCTTTATTAGGCTCACATACATACGTACATGTAGGAGATCTTGCACTAAAGATGGAGGTGAGAAAGGAAACTCAGAATAGCTTAACTCTACATGTATTGTATGTACAATGCAGTGCTAGGGAGTTGCTGTGTGGTGAGAAGCTTGTTGAGAGGAGGTTGTAGAGGAGACGTCCACTACAATACGTCCACTACAAGGTCCTGTCCGTTTGAGAGCGTTGAGTAAAATGACCTTCACGTAGTTGTTGTTGATGAGATTGTCGGACCGTAGTCCGACACTGGCCTTTGCCTGTAGGCGGCCCGTTTGGTGGTTCCGACTGGAGCTCTTGGAGCAGCCAGAACGGATTTGGGATTGGGGATGAAGGTTGTCCTACCTGCAGATATGAAAGGATACTGCAGGTTTGCAAGTGTGAGCGGACCCTCGGTCAGTGAACGCTTACCACCAACCCCCCACTCTTGGAAGTGGTCAGTTTCGGAGTGGCGCGCCCCCCGAACTGGGGTCCGCACTTGCTGGGGGAGGATACTTCCTAAGCTATCTGGGTGGTGGGTATCATGTGATGACCCGGAGAAGGTGGTGAATGTGGTTTGTTTGGGCCTTTCGGGTTAGAGTGGCCGCTGGTGTTGTGTATTCTTGGAAGTTTCGAATTCTGTTTCGGAGACTTTGTGTGACTTCGCAGTCGAGGAGATAGTGTTCCAGTGGGTTGGCTGCTGGCTCCTGACAGGAGGTGCATTCCCTGACGACATTTCCGATCGTCTTCCAGGAGCACTTGTACCCTAGTCGTAGTCGATGAAGGCTAACTTTGGTTTGTCTTGGTGTTTTCTTGTCCGCGAAAGGTGGTTCCCCTTTTGTAGCCACCAGGTACCATTTGGCTTATTGGGAACCAGCGTTGAATGCGTCAAGGAAGCTCTTTTGGAAGTGGAATTTGGTAGTCTTTCTGAGGTGGTTCTTGATCTGTTGCACGCTTGCTGGAACTTGAATGTGTATGCTTCTAGAAAGTGTGACTGCCTTGGCTGCTTCGTCTGCCATGTCGTTTCCCCCAATCCCTACATGACTGGGAATCCAGTGTAAGACGACTGGGTGATTTTGTCTTTAGAAGTCCTGTAGCTGTGCGAGGATCGAGGTTATGATGTGGACGTTGTCTCTTGGTTGACTGTGTTGCAGCGCCTGCATGGCTGTTTTCGAGTCCGTGTGAATTATGATGGACTTGTTGTATTCTGTTGCAGCGTGTTGTAGGGCCTCTGAGATTGCTACCAACTCTGTTTGTAGGGTGGAGCAGTCGTTAGAAAGTCTCTTTAGGAGGGTCTGACCTTGGGTGTAGAAGGCCGCTCCGGATCTATGATGTTTTTGGTCCACCGAGCCGTCTGTGAAGTATGATGCTGCATCAGCCGGTGTCTCGGTGGCTATAGCTTCCTGAGTTATTCTTTTGAGGCCCTCCTTCTGGAGGTTGTCTTTGGTATCACCTAGTTCGGTGATTTTTAATGTGGCTGGTGGAGGGCTCCATGGTGATGGAACTACATAATCCTTGCCTCATATGTCTTGGTTTGTCTTGATGTGTGTTTCTGCTTGTAGGTGTCGGATGACCTCACTTGCCTCGTGCGACCAGGTGGCCCCTCGCACTCTGTGGTCGAGGTGGAGGGAGGCACTGATTCGAATCTTGGCAACTGTGGGCTTGTCTGCTCTACAGATTTTGGCGAGGAGACCGGCTGTCACCTGCTTGACTCGTACTGCCAGGGGTGGTAGCTCGGTTTCCATTTGCAGATTGCAAATTCTGGTCCACATGGGTGCTCCGAGCATGGTCCTGAGAGCATTATTTTGGATGACTTCTAGCTTGGCTATTTGGTCTTCTCTCAGTCCAATGAGTGCTGGAGCACTGTAATCTACCAGCGATCTGATGGCGGCCGTGTAGTAGGCTTTGAGCACGTGTATGTTCGCTCCTGTGGTTGTGCTGGTGAGCGACCTTATTATGTTGTGTCTGCTCTTCGTCCTGTGCCTGAGATACTCGAGTTGCGGCTTGAAAGTGAGTTTCTGGTCGAACCAGATTTCAAGACACTGGTGGGTG